GGGTTTTTCAATTTAAAACTATTTTCTATTTAAACATATTTATTTATAAAGTTTTTTGAACCACTTTCTAACTAAAAGCCACAGTGCCTTGGTATGATTTCGCTTTTCTTGCTCATTTCCGGGCGACAAGAACGACAACGCTTAGCTGCACTCGCTGCTGCTCCTGTTCCTGTTTCGGTTTCTGGGGCTCCTGCCTCCTTGCAGCTCCTTGTTTGTGTTGGTCATACACACACACACACACTCCGGCACACACTCAGACACAAACGCAAACCGCAGAAGCAGCTCCCAACCTCTATAGCCCCTCCCTGGTCGGCTGTCCCCGGCAGACTTGCGGCCCACGTGGCGTGTACTTAATTTCCCATGCTCATTGCCGGGCGCGTTAACTTTTTTACCGGCCACATACTTACTGCCTTTTTTCTTCTCCTACTCCTACTCCTACTCCTACTTTTCCACCTCCGTTTTGGCCCTTTCCCACGAATTTCCCTCAACACTCTCCTCCTCCTCACAGCATTGAAGACTTCTCAACTCGTTCAACAAAATTTTGCACAAAAGTTTCATAATTAATTTCATGTTAAGTGGCAATGCGAGCGGGGCGTGGTCCTGCGAGCCCTACCATCGTCCTGCCTGTCTTTCTATCTACCCTTTTCCCCACAACCTGTTCATGGAAGTCCTTTGCCACTTTCCTCCCCGGAAAATTCTCCTGGACTGGTTGGTGTCTTTAATTTGAATTGTCATTTCCTTTCTTTAGTTCTCGATGCTTGCCACAGCCGCAGCCACTCCGGTGTCGTCTGCCAGGCATCCGTTTTCCATCCACACAGCCACACCCCCTTACCAAGCCACCATCTGCCGCCCCCGGGCTGCGGTCGCACGTTCAACTTGATTAGCGCAACTTATAATGAGTGGCACGAGCCGGGGAGCTGGGGGGATAAAATTGTTGGGTCTTACTCAAATTCTATTCCGGCTCTCAGTACCCATTGCCGAAACACTTGCCAAACAGTCACCTACATAAGTAAATGTATATGGTGGATATGTATGCAGTGAAAGAAATAGTTTTTATAAAAATATTAAACTATATTTTGGAAGGGAAGTGAAATAAAATAAATCACAATTTAATATCAAATGTGTGCTGGACACTAAAAGAAGCACCTGTTTTTAGAAGAACTCCTTTTTTTTTGTTTCAGTGACTTGTTAAGGATAATTGTATTAAATATAATAACTTTTCAGTGAAAGAGTGGCTTTCATAATTACTTTGTGTGTACTCTCCACACTGTCTCTTGGCCCAAACACCTGGCCCAAACGTGCCAATGCAAATATGCGAGTTGGTAGGCACATTTCAGGTGATATTTGCCCATAATTATATTTCCCTTCAAGTACGGGTATATTAAGGACTCTCATTCTCGTAATTGGATTGAGTTTGATTTAGTTAAATTAGGTATGAATTAATTTATTTACCTCTAAAGAGTCTGTGGAATAATTAATTGATGGCATTTGATTAATAATGATTGAAGAAATTCCATGGCTCGAATCTGGAAATTCAAAGGGCCCTACTTTGATTGCCGAATACTCGGAATAAATCCTTTGAGGCTTTGTTGTTTTATTTTAAATATGGACATTTTATTGGATATTCTTTTGTAATGGCAGAAATGCGTATGTTTTGACAAGGGGTCCTGACAGCTAGGATGGCACAGTACTGTCTTGCCCCGCTCACCGGTCTTTGGTCTCCGGTCATTGTGCGATTCTTGGCAATAATGCGAACATTATACAATTTTGAAAAATATGTCACGTTGCTGGAATCCCACCTCCTGCCGCCTCTTGCCGCCTCCTTCGTCCTGTCCGGACTGGCTCCCCAACTCAAACAGAAGCCTGATGGCCGTCTGCCAATAAATTTGTGAGAAAAACAACTGTCGACGAGAACGAAGAGGTGGCATAAAACTTTTGCTCTTTGTGTGGCATAAATATGAATGAATGGATTTGGCCATAGAAATGGGTAGAAGGGGAGAGGGTAGATGGAATGGCAGTGGGCACAACTGGTCCACTGCGGCATATACTCCCAGAACCCGAGCCATAGTCCGATGCGGAACCCGAGCCATAGTCCGATGCGGTCTTCCCACGACAACGGTTGAGTTCACAAAGGGCTGAGGCCAAGAGAGGCCCGAGCGGGCCACAGGACTTTCCATGGGCAATAAATTTTAATTTTCCTTAAATCCTTCCGCATACGAAATGAGATTTGAAACAAGCCGCTGCAATCATGTGCCACAGTTTTAGCCTTCTTTTCACAGCCAGATTGCCGTGGCAGATCTTGATTAATTGAGAGTGGCTTGAATTTGAATGAAGGTCTTTGAAAACTGGAATTTAAGATGCCATAACACCAGGTGACTTTGTGTGGGCATAGTAGACGCCTTACTCCACGGATCACTAATAATAAATCTTTGCCAAAGTGACGATGATTCAGCTGCCTGGAGATCCCTAGAGAGCCAGGGACCTTGGAGCAAGTCACAGTCAAATGCGCAGATAAATGTTTATGGAAGATAAATTGCAGTTAGCGGATAGACATCCGAATGCCGAAATCCGCCAGCAACGCATAATAAATTCCATTTGTAGTTCGCAACTTTTGGCCAAACAAACCGTTTCTGGGCAGAAGGCTATCAAATCGATGAAATCGAGGGAGTAATGCCAAATCGACTATTGATGCGTTGGCATCCCGTGGCACGGTGTCACTGCCAAAAAAAAAAATGGATACCCCTCCCATTGGCCATTTGGGCAACCAAACCGAACAATGAATTCGTTCGCTTTGGATTGGTTTTGTGAAATTGTCCACGAACGTGGTCCGATCATTTATCAATATTTCCGTTCTGGGGGAGTCCTGGAAAACTGGTACAGTAATAGCTTATTATTCTGAAAAAACCAATCGGTCGATAAATGCATGTTCTGGCCCACTTTCAGAAGCTGTGTTCACATTTTTTTGGGATTTCTGTCCTAAAACTTTATTCCCATTTCATTTGTTTGTTGTGTCCATCAACCAGAATTTATTTATTGGCTTATTGAGCTTGAATATCAATGAAATATTTCAATAATCCTTTTTAATTGGCAGAAATACAAAACTATTTCATTTCTGTCAACCGGAAAAAGAATTCCTTTGTCCTTTTTGGAGTCTTAAAGCCAAAAGCTAGGGCTCTTAAGTAGACCACTGAATGCATTGATGAATTCCACAAAATCCCGTCCAGAGACAAGAAAATAAAATATTGAAAGAAAAGTGTAGGAGAAAGTGTAAGGAACAGGCCACAAAGGGGCATAAAATGAGTTGAACATTCCGGGCATTGTGCCTTCAGTTAAGCACATGAATCCCTTTTGTAATCAAATGCACAGAAAATTGTATTCTATTCAAGCAGAATTCTGTCCAAGTCCCAAACCTCTTTCGTGTCCCGTCTCCTGATGGGCTTTGTATCGGTCTGGATGGTTGGGGGTGGTAGGTGGTTTTCTGGGATGGATCTGATCCACTTTGGCGTTCCACACAGAAAATCCACGCGCCTTCCGCAAAACAAAACAGCAAAATTATCTGTCGGAGCTCTAAGATTCTTACTTGGATGGTCCGAGTGGGCGTGACTGTGCCAGGAGGGCTGAAAGAAAAATATTACAAGAAGCGCCTAGACAATAGCACCAAAATAAGTAAATAATAAAAAAAACCAAGAGGAAAAAAAATAATAATAATAGAAAAGAAAATGCTCCACCAACAATAGCGTAATAAACTAACGCGAAAGCTAAACTCTCTGGAAAAACTATGCAAAAAGTTTTCTCTTTGTTTCGCAGCACCAGCAAAAATGGAATTAATAAAATAAAAAACAAAAACACAAAAAAAGGGAAATTGTTCGAAAAATATTTAACCCCCCCTTTTATAGGCCAGATAAAACCTTCCAGGACACGCCGACGCAAGGGCAGCGCGAAAATTTAATTAACAATTTGTGAAGGGGAAATAAACAAAAGCCCCCCGGACGGATATCCCGGGGGCTCAACCGGGATTACCTCCTCGTCCTGCTGCTATTGCTCCTCCTCCTGGCTATATTCGATGGGCATTTCCAGCCGAGTCCTGATCTAGTCCGGGATTGAAGTGCCTTCGATGGGTGTATGACAAGTTGAGAGCTCCTTGACAAGTTCTTAATGAAAAGTTGAAAAGCTTGCGAGCATAATTAAACTGGCATTTTTAAGTCCTTTTTTATGGCAAGGACAATTGATAAAGTTTATTCAATCAAAATAAAGAGGATCTTTAATAGTGTACTTAATTTTTATTATAGACTATATTATTTATTAAACACTTTTTGAATAAAGCATTTTTTTGTTTTAAAGACGCTTTGAAGTACTATTAAATTTTCGTATAAATTATACATGTTTTAAAAAATTTAGTCCATTATTTTTTTATCTGTACCCTCCCAAGTAAGAAACTGAAAGAATTATACTCGTAAATTTTCAAACTTTTGACTATTCAAACATTTTGACAAGCGACAATTCGCTTGATTATTTCCACAGACATGGAAATGGAAAGGAACCGAAAGCGACGGGCAAACTTCGATGAATCTTATCGTTGCAGGTCCTTTGTTCCATTCGTCCTGCCATGCCTCCAGCCTCCTGCCTGCTGCCTCCTTGCCCTGGCTCTCCTGGTACCCCCCCTTTTTAGTTCCTTCATTAGTTTGCCACTTCATCTCTGCCGCACGCTCGAGTGACTTCGCTCTGAGGTTGCCACATGAAAAGTGACAAAAGTTTAATGATGCGTTTAAGTTGCACGTGGCATGCCCTTTGGCACCGCCGTGATTTGATGAGCTTTACGCATTGCAATTCATGTAAGCCCCCCCTCGAAAGGGAAGGAACTCCCCCTATTCAAAAGAAATTGCAGCTGTCGGAGTATTATTGATTTTTATCACGTACCCCTCCAACAAGTTATGGTGTAGGTTTTCGAAACCGCTTTATTTATGTAAAGGATATAAAATAAGGACCTAAACCACACCCAGTTAAGTGTTTGTAGCAATATCCTCCACTTTAGAGTCCTCCAGTTGCTTGAATTGGATGAGAATCACCAAGTAGGTGGTAACCGCCGAGAAGATCTTGAAGAGCGTGGAGTTATCAATTGAGAAGAATCCATAGGCGGTGAACTCCAAGTCCTGCTTGATGCTCTTGGTGAGGTACTTGTCGATGAGGTTCTGGAAGTGCTTGCTCTTGCCATACACTCTGGCCAGGATCTGGGCGGTGGCATTCGTCTCGGAGGCCAGGCAATCGCACGCATTGCAGATTATGGCCATGGTAATGGTTTCGGCCACAACCCAGGCGCACGACAAGCCCATCGTATTGGCCGTCTCCGATTGGCTGCTCACACTTCCGGCAATAGACGTCAAGGTGGCAAATGCCAGATAACTCTGATTGGTTACAGTGTAGAACGAGAATCCGAAGAAGAACAGAAGCGCCACTCCCGCCACGGAGTTCAGATTCTCGGTGATGTAGCGGAACTTGCACAGAACCTCAATCATGTTGCTCAGCTCTCGCCAGCTGTCCCGATCGCAGGCCCCCTCGGTTTCCGTCAGCGAGAAGTCCTCCAGTCGCTGGTTGAGGAATCCGATCCTTTGGGCCAAGTTCATGAACATTGTGTTGAGGTACAGCGAAAACACCGTGGAGTAGAGCAGCTGGAGGGAGTAGAAGAGCATCAGGTGGACTTGACGCTTCATCTTAATATCGCTCCGGTAGTGAATATAGTAGAAGGCCACTCCAAGGACTCCTAGAGAGGCCATGGCAACCAGGATACCCAGCCAGCGGCAACTGTACTTCCGCCGATAGCCACATGCATCGAGGAACTCGTCAATGCCGGCCGAGTCCTTAAGGATGCGGCAGTGGCGAGAGGCATTCTGGACGCTGGACAGAGCCATCATCGTGTAGCTGAACATGCAGAGGAGCGTCTCGATAGTCCGGTTGATCTCCTCGGTGTCGCCCTGGGCGCTTGTTAACAGTCTGTACTGACCCGACTCGAAGATGACGCCTTCGGCCAGCTTGATGGTGCTCAGGAGCAGAACCAAAGCCACCAGTCGTCCGTACCAGCGTCCGATTCTGCTCGTCTGGAAGGTCTCCTCATCGTGGCCAGAGTACCAGGGCACTAGGGCACAAAACTGGGCCGGTTTGGCCGCCGTCTGGATGTCCACCAGGAACTTCATCTCTCGCTCGACTGACAGAATGGAATCCAGTTTCCATTCCATTTAATATCCGTTTCGGTTATCTACTCTAATAGTCAGTCATTTTGATTAATTAGATAGTTTATGAGAGGCATTAAGTTAAAGTTTCTGCTAGTATACAAATGATTATAAATATTAGCCATCTTTTAAACTTATGTAGCTCTGTTTAGGCCATTAACTTCCACCCACACATGGTGCTGCCAATTTCCAAATGTCATAACCCAATTAACAGTCCTGCCAGCCATTAGCCCCTGTATATCCTGGCAAATTATGAATGATGAGTGGGCCGGTCTCGGCTACCGTGGGAGAATTACAATTATTGGGTAATTGCCAGCTAATGCGACCTGTCATAATTGCGCGGAACTTAAAAGCCCTGTCCGATGCGTCCCTGTCCACAAATTGCCCAATTACTTTGACAAACCGCCGATGGCGTCCGTTCTCCGGACGACGATGAACCACCACATGGACGGAAGATGGCAGTTGGAGCAATACCCCCTCGGGGTTGGTGGCCAAAAAGTGGGAGCAAGTGCCGCCACTGTGGAGATTAAGCTCATTATGCAAAACGCCAGGGAACTGGATGAACCGAATGGACTATGGAATCGTTCGGGCGCAAGGCATTTACTTCAATTATTTCATTAAAACGGGCAAGATGATGGGACAGAAATGGCAGAAATGGCGACAAAAGTCCAGAGGCGACATCTGCGAGTCCTTGCGAGTCCTGCGCGCCATCGCACTCCCTCAAAGATGGCGCCATTGAATTTTCGGTGGAGCGCTAATGGAGCGTGTGAGTCCGGCAGCAGCTGTCGAAGTCAGGGAGCTTCGGATGTGGCATGTTGCACACAGAGAAAAAGTTAATCCTCTTATTGGATCAAAGTTGTATGTTATTTGTATAGTTTCTATATAGATTTTTCTCACAGTGCTTGGTTGTGCAGGCGATGACAACACACGAACCCCGGAGGTCATTCGGGGGTCCAGTAAAATTCAATATCGAAGCTCAGGAAATTCATTGTTTAACCTTTGTTGCTTAAATTGCTCAAATTCCTGCCATTAGTTTGACAAACGAGGCAGCGAAATTATTTTGTTGCAACCAAGTTGTTGCCCAGGCACATCCGGAACAGGAGCAAGAGCAGGAGCTGGCAGAAGCTTGAGGGTATGGGATGATCGAAAAAGCAACCAGATTTTCAGGCTAAAGTTTTTGCCACAGCACCGAGTAAACCAACTTTAACCCCTCTCCGGCTCCGGCTCCGGGTCTTTACAGTGAAACTTTCCTTCAATCGACTCGCTTTGGGGCACGCACTAAGCTTGCCCCCTTTTTGCGGTTTCGTTACCGTTTGGCCATCCATTGTTGCCACAGCCAGTGCTCCACAGGATGGAGGATGTGCCGGGTCGGTTATTCCATTGCTGCAGATTTATTTGCGGTTTTGCATAATCACTGAAAATTAGTTTAAAATATTTACATTAAATTTGCATCCCGATGTCTGGGGCTTTCAGCTTTGAGCTCAGAGATCTGAGCTCTGAGCAGCCGGAAAGGCTAAGTATAAGCCCTTAAATGGGCATTAGCCTGTTGGTCATGTTCACAGGACATTTCAAGCATTTTTCGGAGCTAATTAGATTCATTATAGTCCTTGTGCTACCATAAACTAATTAATATTTCTTTAGTTATTATTATATTTCTCTGAAAATATTGTAAAATATTTATTTTGCTTTCCAATTTATTTTGAGGCACATGCAGCACAAGGACTCTTAGGAATAAAAGTTTTAAAGTTGTTAAACTACTTCCTAGTAGGATCAAAAGTCAATAAATGTGAGAAAGTTGTATTTTTGTTTTTCTTTCAAAACTTTACGTAAGAATATTTGCCAAAGCCTCCTGCCGAACTTCCTCTAATCATGGCCGGCTTCTGCTCCCAAAAGTTAAGTTCATCAGACACAGACAGCTCCTCCAGGAGTCATTCAGGAGGCTGCCAGGTGGCAATATGACAGACCGTATATTTGCCGAGCTCAATGATTATCCTTGGACCGTATCCTTTGAGACTGGCTTGTTTACGTGTGTCAACGAATATAATAATTTTCAGCTACGACTGCATTCAATATTTGTCCAGTCGAAGCTCTCAAGGTGCCAGGAGAGGCAAGGATTCAAGGACTAAATGCAGTGGACAAAAATGTATGACTGTTAGTTATTTAAAGATCTAGTTTTATGAAATAACATTAGAGGTATTTTCTTCCAGTGTAGCCTTGAATCACTTTATTTGCAAAGGTCGTTTCATGCGTGTGGCTCTGGGAAATTGAAGGCAGATAGGCACAAAGTTAGACAGCAGAGTAAACATCATTTTCCTGGCAGGACCCATGAGGACATCCAATGTCCATGAACCACAAAAAAAAGGCTGCACTTTTGAGCTTTTTAAGGAAAAAACGCATTTGAGGGCAAGAAACACTTCCGGTTTCCTTCCTGGACCGGAAGCTCTATCCTTTTCCTTCATCTGCGGGTGTCGTTCTCAAATATTTGAGATTCGTGGCCTCTAAAAAGTCAATAATGAAAGGAAAATAGTACTCACTGATGGATTTTGTGTCGATTAATAACGCGGGGCAACAAAATCTCTAGAATTAATTATGCCAATTTTAATCCTTTTGGCAACTGGCTCAGGTCCTGGCAAATGACATTGCCACCAAATAATCCTGGCCATTAACTGAAAAATTGGCTTTGAGTGGCAGATGAGTCTGAGTCTCCTTCGTTGCCGACCAGATTGAGGATATACACTCACTTGGCTTTAAGCCGAGCATTATCCCTAATTTCGAAAATGTCCTTTTCCTGTGTTTTGCTGCTGCCCTGCCATCAGATTTAAGCCCTAAAAACCAGTCGGTAGTCCCTTACCAAATATGCGCCTCCTCCTTACACTCTTTATTACTTATTTTGTTCTATCGTTCGTATTCCTTCTCGCCTTTCCTTTTATCTTTGTATTCCACCGGAATATCCTTCCTCCCTGCGAGTGCATAAACAAATTGAAGATAAACATACTTATATCCGGAAATATCCTATTTGGAAGGACACTGAAAATAAAGTTTTTTTGGTATTAGTTTTGGTATTAGATTTTTGTTTTCTTAAGTTTGTTTCAGAAAATTTCATTCAAAAAAGGATAATATAATTAAGATTCTTAATTGAAATTGATTATTTATTTATTAATATTTATTATTAATATTTATATTTTTTTTAGTATATCCTGCTGCCTGAACTTGAAGCATGTTGCAATTTCAGCTGCCAGATCCGCGGCGCCTCCGCCAGTGCAAATGGAATTGTTTTCCCAGGCGCTGCCAACATTTGTGTCAGAAATGCCTTAATTTATAGAAAATGTATCCGAGCTCGGGGGTGGAAAGGACCGTTCCCTCATGTCCTGTGCGAGGGGGCTGCCATGAATGTCACATGGGTCTCAACGTCCTGTGCGCGGCTTTCGTTTGTCTTTCGCCTCCACGCTCCTTGCTCCAACAGCTCCAAGGCATGTCCTTCCCTGTTTTTACTCCCAAACTCCTTGCCCATCCCAGCAGCATATCTATCTTTTCCCCAAGGGCTCAGTGCAGATGCATGATAATCCCGATATGTACATAGGGGTAAACACACCGCCTCCGCATTTGCCTTCGCCTCTATATCCATTTCCATTTCCCTTTCCGTTTTCTGCTCCACAATCCTGTCCAGAAATGATTGAGGGATTTCTGTCCGCCTAAGAGCCAATGATAACGGCCACGGAGCACTTTGCTCTTCATTTTCACTCCACAGCGTAATTGATATTTTACAATTGTGTCTGCCGGTTCATTTTCGAGTCCTCATGGTCCTCCAAGCCCCCGAAAAGAGCCCCCAAAACTCATCCCTCGAGTGTCTGTGGCAAATTGTGCAGAAATTCTATTTCTCACTTGCCCCAAAACCCCGTCCTCTTCCTCGTTAGGATATGCGAGGATATGTAGATACAGATGCATGTGCAGGATCTGTGCAGCTCGGAGCAACTACATTTGTCCCTGTCGATGTTCCAACTGCCACATGAGCAAAATTATTCAAGCAGTGCCAGCTGCTGTGAGTTTGTCAGAAGTTTGTCTTAAAAATGTGAAGCTTTAGGTTTAATTTTAGTGAAAGTTAGAGTGTTCAGAAAACTATTGATTTGTTTTATTTTTGGTTGGGCATATTTTCCGTGTCATGGTTATAGACCATTACTGGACTCTAATCGGTTAAGTCCTCGTTAAGGTCATGACTTGTAAATTATTTCCCTGTTACTTGTAGAGGCATAAAAATTTCCACCAACTGAACGGCCGTGGAAAATTACTCACCAAAGTGGCTTGCGGCCAATTTGGCAGGTGGCTTAGAAGTGGTGGATGGGCTGCTGAGTTGGCTGGTGTGGCAAGACACGCCCCCTTCTACCACCTCCATGGCCGCCCACCTCTTTGGTTCTCTGTGCTATTTATTCTGCTGAAGATCAAAGCGAAATGTGTAACAAAATTGCCAATTACATATAAAGCAGGAAAAACTGTCTACCTAGTCAGGCAGTAGGGATCCTTTTTGTGTTTTTGGCGTTAGTACACAGAAGAAAATTAATAATGATATAGAAAACTTGTTAATTTTATTCAATAAAATATAAATTATATTATTTATAGACCAGTTACTCTTACAGTTTTAGTTCAAGAGACTCTCCTTCTCTGCCATTTTCTTGAAATAAATTTATTTCACATTTGAATTCCAAAGCAAATTTCACAAACGAAACAAATTAAACCATGATATTAAACATTAAGTTTTCACTGTATAAAAGTGAGATACGTTTTAAAATATATTTTACAAATTAAAACAGTTCTTAACCATCATGAAGTATTTTATCGTATTATTTGTGGTGATTTCTGTGCTTTTGCCATTAATAGCTTCCCAGAGTGAACATTGTAAAGTGATTATTAAAAATCTTATGTCAAGTAAGTCTAATAAGAAAGTTTTAACCACTTTTGAAGCCTGAAAT